GGCAGAAATCACACGGGAAATACCATTAAGGGATTGACAGATAACAGATCTATCCAAGGCACCAATATTTTGGAGAAAAAAAAAGGCTTCCTAAAGTTAACCAAGTGACTTGAGGCTTACCCATAATCCTTAAGGATATTGAGTACAACAAGAGCTTGTTCTTTAGAAGCTTTACAAAAAAGAATTGCATCATCTACAAAGAAGGTCAGTATGGCGACTGGATAAAAGCTTTGGATGGTCAGAAGTGGGTTGAAGTTAGTCTTTCAGGCTCTAGAAGCTCTCCTCAACCAGACTCCCCAGCAGCTACAAAGCAAAGATCTTTTCAAAAAGCTTCATCTAGCCAAGCTGAAAAGAGTCACCAAATAATCCAAATCCAGGAGAAATCTCCTCTTACTACAAAATTAAGAGCAGTTGCATCCTTATCCTCAGCCACTCGGAATTTCAATCAGGAGAGGGCATTGGCAGAGTCTAGCTCACAAATAGTTGAGTATACTAAAGTTATGGAAGTAGAGACTGTGGGACCTACAGTCTCTTCAGTCCCTCCTGAGCTTTAAAACTATCACTGCCCCTCAAGTAGGGGCCCTAAAAACTTAGAGAAGAGCTAAAACAAAGAAGGTAGATTGCAAAGAGAAACAGTCACTCATATAGTTATTGACCAAGTCTATGGTGGAAAGAGGCTTAGAACAGAAAATGAGCCTTAAACAGCAAATAAGGATGACCAAGTCCTCAAGCAGATTGAAAGCAAAAAATTGAAATCCAAATCTGAAATGGTGGGGGTTGCGAGACTGGAATGGCACCACAGTGACCAATGTTAGTTGTGGTGTGGAATTGTAGAGGGCTGGGTGGGCCCTCAACAATTTTTCAAATCTGAGAGTTAATCAAAACACACCACTCACATTTTTTTTTTTCTTTCTGAAACCAAGAAACAAAAGGCTTTTGTAAACTCGGTTAGCAAGAAACTGGGGTATGATGACATATTAGTTGTAGTAGGACAGATTAGCTGTAGTAGACCCCAAGGGTCTTAGTGGAGGACTTGTTTTGCATTGGGATTCTCAGATACTGATCAAGAAAATCATTTGCAAAGGTTTCTACATAGCTGTAGAGTTCCAACTACATTCTCAAATATCTCATTGGGGAGTTTTTGTCTATCTTAGCATTTGTAGAATTCTCAGAGCTGCTCAAAGGGAGGAATTACTCATTGGTAAACCTTACTGAGGAAATTATCGGTTTTCTAATTGGTGACTGGAATGATATATGTTCCAATGCAAAGAATTCAAGTGGTACTCATACAAGTCCTACTGGCTTCCAAGAATTCAATACCTTTATCAGCTGTAAGGAGATGGAAGAAGTCAAGATGGAAGGCTACCCCTTCACATGGTGCAATAATAGAGCATAACCAGAGTTAGTTGAAGAGCAGCTTGACAGAGCTTTTGTCTCTTTTGATTGGCTTCAGGCACATCCAAATGCATCAGTCTCTAATTTAATCAGAAGCTCTTAGATCACTCAACCCTTCTTTTTGATATGGGTCTTCCAAGGTAGAGGAAGAAGACTAGATTCCACTTTGATAATAGGTGGATTAGCAAAGAGGTATATGAAGATGATGTTCAAAATGCATGGTTAACTCCAGTCTCTGGTACTCCATTCTTTCAACTGAAGGAAAAAATCAAGAATACCAAGATTGCTCTACTCATATGAAGCTTCACTTTCCAATCTCAAACCCAGGCTATTATTGCTGCTCTTACTAAAAAAACTGGAAACTCTGAATATGGATAAGTCAGACAACAATTGGGAAAGCTAAGAATCTACTAAGAGTGACTTAAATAAGGCTCATCTGCAGGAGGAGCTTTTTTGGCAACAGAAGGCCAGATTAAGATGGTTGAAAGAAGGGGATGCTAATACAAGATTCTTCCATGCCTTCACCCTCCAAAGATGAAGGCAAAATGCAATCACAAGATTGATTTCACCTCAAGGAAGGACATACTCTAATCAGAAGGATATTGAAAACCATATTGTTGACTTCCATTCCACCATTTTCTCAACAGATGGTAGCTGGGGGGGAGACTCCACTCTCTATCTTATTCCTACATCCATTACTAAGACATAAATTAAGCTTTGCTTAAACCAGTTGAGGAGGAAGATGTAAAAACAACATTATTCAGCTTGCAACCTGACAAATCCCCTTAGGGGGGGGGGGG